CATTTGACAGAAATGACAATTATCAAAATGGTCATTTGATATAAACGACAATTATCATAATTGTCATTTGACATAAATGACATTTATCAGAATTGTCATTTGACATAAATGACAATTATCAAAATTGTCATTTGACATAAACAACATTTATCAGAATTGTCATTTGACAGAAATATTCCTGCGCGAATTTCAAAATTGACCAATCACAATTTTATAATAGCTTTTTATTGGTCAACTTTAAAATTCGCGCTGGAATATTTATGTCAAAAGACAAATTTGATAAATGTCATTTATGTTACATGTCGTTTATGTCAAATGACAATTTGGATAAATGTCGTTTATGTCAAATAACAATTTTGATAATAGTCATTTATGTCAAATGACAATTATGATAATTGTCATTTATGTCAAATGACATTTTTGATAAATGTCGTTTATGTCAAATGACAATTTTGATAATTGTCATTTATGTCAAATGACAATTCTGATAAATGTCATTTATGTCAAATGACAATTATGATAATTGTCGTTTATGTCAAATGACCATTTTGATAATTGTCATTTCTGTCAAATGACAATTCTGATAAATGTCTTTTATGTCAAATGACAATTTTGATAATTGTCATGTATGTCAAATGAAATTTTTGATAAATTTCATTTATGTCAAACGATATTTTTGTATGATGTCATTTATGTCAAATGACATTTTTGTTACATATCGTTTATGTTAAATGACAATTATGATAATTGTCATTTATGTCAAATGTCAATTTTGATAAATGTCATTTATTTCAAATATCATTTTTGTAACATGTCATTATGGTCAAATGACATGTGTTTCATATGCATTTCGGTTAATTGACATTTATGTCAAATGTCAATTGGGCAATATTCATGCGCCTCACCAGGTGTTATAAGAAGATTATTGGATACCAATCAATACACATATTAAGGTAATAATACAGAACCTTATAAAAAAAGGATTATATGATTGTTTTTTTAAACAATTATTTATTATCAAGAAAATATCAATCTTATAATAAATGAATAATCTTTTGTTTAATTATCATTTTGTTTATTCATTTAATAACTTCTCCCTAACTTAGTTTCTTTAACTAAGTTAAATTGAGGGAATAGAGTAGGGAATATTTATAAGTTCTTGGATTAGGAGAAATTAAATTAAATAATTATGACATAACAATATTTTAATTAAAATTAACATAATTATATTTAAGAGAAAAGATTTCCGCATAGAGATTAAATTAATGATGAACTGCGAGAATATATTTCTTTTTTTTTAATATGTCAGTTCTTTTAAAGAGTACATGCTAAAGAAAGAGTACGTTCTTCCGCATAATTATTTTTTTACTTTCAATGAGAATAAGACATGCTTGAATGTAGATAAAAATGAGAACGAGAAATAAAAAAAAAGTGTATGAATAAGATTGTGAAAACACAGTGCCAGTTATACGTCAATAATCCATTGCAAAATACTGAATTTTACCTTCGAATAAAATTTCTTTTATCAATATCACGATGAATGTTTTTTTGTAAATATAGCATTATATTATATTTATATAATTTTAATTTTTCAACATTCAAATTTTTTTAACGTATGGACACCGAGATTTTATTTAATTACTTTATTATACTGTTGTAAAAAAGTTGTGTTTTTTTATTACACACACATGATAAAAGTAAATTTTTTTTTCAACTATAAACGAGGTCGAGAAATTTACAATTGAAATCAGGTTCAGTGTCACAGGTTCCTGGTGATTTCCGCCGGGATGGAGAAAATGCAGGCTGCTGAGTGAATTGTAATCGAAACCCGGTGTTAATTTCCGATTAACACTCAATCGCCTATTCCCTCGTGAATCGAAAGTAATAACGACCGGACGCTCTTCCGAACGCAATAACGCATCATGAAAAATGCAATCGCGCTTTTAACTGCGGTTTTTCCTCTTTTTCCAACGAGTTGGTTCGATTTTTCAATGGGTTTACGAGTTAAACAAGTCAGTTCGTGGGAATCATTTTAAAAATTAAATAAAATATTTTTTAACTGATTGAAAATATAATATGCGAATAAAATTTCTCTTTCCATTTTAATCCCGAAATAAATATCCATAGAATTATTATTTCGTGATAAGGTGATTAAGGATCATTATTTTTTTTTATAAATAAATCATACCGCAGAATATTTGTATTTAAACATTTATTCATTTATGAAATTCACAAAAAAGGAGATAAATATTTTTAAAATGTATTTCACTGTATTTTTGTGTTCTCTTTTTTTAGAGAAAGGGAGATAAAAAATCAAGTTCGTAACGACAATTAGTGGGCTACATCTGGCATCAGAAATAGACGATGAATGGACCGCAAATCGGGAATTTGAATCACGTCTACGTTTACTTCGAACTGAAACGACTTTGACCACTGGGCGATATGTATAGTGCATATAGCATCGACGACTAAACATCAACCACTAACCAATTCGTATGCATCCTAGTCTACCCACGAAACGATTTTCCTGGCATATATCATAGAAAACTGTACATCGTGCAGTTCAAAAAGCATTCTGGTGAATCTACTACCAATGGCCAATATTCCACGGATTCGGATGAGTCAATATTTCGTTAAAGTATACGCTTTGCCATAAACGATTTATATTCACTATTAGCTCTTCTTGCATTAAATAACATTAATTCTCTAAACAACTATCATTCAGAAACTTTGCTGTTTATTTATTATTTTTCTTTAATATTTACAGTGAAACTTTTGTAACGTTATATGTTATTTTATTGTATTTTTTTCGTCATTATTTTCTTCTTCTTAATTTTTATTTGTAAATTTCTTATCGATTCTACAAAGGAATTTACAAAATTCATAGAAATCGAAAACATTTGTAAGCAATAAAATGTAAAAAAAAAAATAATACCAGGAAGATGAAATTGCTGTTTTGTTAACGATCTGTCAAATCAATACTGGCAGTCAATTTCCTATGGACTTCTCGCATTAATCAATTTAACATCGGATAGTGTAGGGATCTGCGTTACCGACGACTGAGTATCGATTACACAGGCACACAAAAAAAAAGTCAGGTCCCAAAAAGCACAACCCCATATTCCTATGTTTTTGGGGTCGCTGAAACCGAATATGACCATGAAAAATTTTTTTGCCGACCCATTTTCCCGCAACCACCCCCTTGCACCTACTCATGGGGGTTGGAGTTTCAAATTAAAAAAAAAGTCAAGTTCGGTGTCTAATCCTACGTTTTTTGGGGCGCTGAAACCGAAAAACGCCACCAAAAACAAATTCTTTACCCCCTTAACCCCCTACAACCCTCTGGGAGGGGGTTAAAATTTTAAATTTCACAAAAAGTCAAGTTCGGTGTCTAATCCTACGTTTTTTGGGGCGCTGAAATCAAAAAACGCCACCAAAAACAAATTCTTTACCCGCTTAACCCCCTACAACCCTCTGGGAGGGGGTTAAAATTTTAAATTTCACAAAAAGTCAAGTTTTTTGATTTCAGCGACCCAAAAAAACATAGGATTAGACACCGTACTCGACTTTTCGTGAAAAATGAAATTCCAACCCCCTCCCAGGGGTTGTAGGGGGTTAAGGGGGTAAAGAATTTGTTTTTGGTGGTGTTTTTTGATTTCAGCGCCCCAAAAAACGTAGGATTAGACACCGAACTTGACTTTTTGTGAAATTTAAAATTTTAACCCCCTCCCAGAGGGTTGTAGGGGGTTAAGGGGGTAAAGAATTTGTTTTTGGTGGCGTTTTTTGATTTCAGCGCCCCAAAAAACGTAGGATTAGACACCGAACTTGACTTTTTGTGAAATTTAAAATTTTAACCCCCTCCCAGAGGGTTGTAGGGGGTTAAGGGGTAAAGAATTTGTTTTTGGTGGTGTTTTTTGATTTCAGCGCCCCAAAAAACGTAGGATTAGACACCGAACTTGACTTTTTTTTTAATTTGAAACTCCAACCCCCGTGAGTAGGTGCAAGGGGGTGGTTGCGGGAAAATGGGTCGGCAAAAAAATTTTTCATGGTCATATTCGGTTTCAGCGACCCCAAAAACATAGGAATATGGGGTTGTGCTTTTTGGGACCTGACTTTTTTTTTTTGTGTGCCTGTGTTATCGGTCGCAGATATTATATTATTACATATTAGTTTATGTCAATGACACTGAGAAGAGAGGCCGCTGTTTAGCGACGCTTTCGAGACTGACTCGTCAGCCATTTTACTCTCATTCTCATCCTAGTGTTTGTAGAGTCAAGTTGTGTTCTATTCTTTTTCATGTAAAATAATTAAAATTTACAATTATAAAAATGAGACGAGGCGTCGTCTTCAAATGGACAGTGAGTCTCAAATTAATTATGAGTCGTTTCCTTCAGAATAAATCTTATTACTATTAAAGTATAATCTAATAAATTAAATATATATCTTGTCTTTCGGCCTTCTGTCATTATTTAACTTTTTCTAAAATTTGAAGTGAATGTTAATAAATAGTGTTATTGTTATAAATTTTGTCTAATTAATGGTGTTTATCCTTATCCTATATATTAAGATAAGCCTTTCGTAAAGTCATCCCTTGCAAGGGCTGGACCTGAAGGACCCAATGACATCTTTCTTTCGATAAGTTTTTCTATATTTTGTTTTTTATAGAACCAATAATTGATCTTTTCTAATTTCCCACTCCAAAAAAATATTCATCCCCAAATTTGCACTCGACTTAAAAATTTAAGAAAGGATAGCAATATAAAAACTAGACACTAATAAAAAAGTAGTACTTCTTAAGTTTACAGTTCTTTAAACTATTTTTCAAATTACAAGTTCTATCAACGATTTTCAAGTTCTAATTCCAAGTCATTTAAATTTTTCAATCTTTCACCTGTTATTAGTTTTTCATCTAAATTCCATGACTAAAATTTGAGAAATTCTTTACATCAAACGGTGGATCGCTTTAATATCTCATATAATGATGAAAATATTAATCTTACCTCAGCAGGAAATGCATAATTGTTGACTCGATGTTCGGAACCATGTGAATTGTCTAATCCATAATGAATATAAATTTCCTCGAATTGGTAGTGATAGGCAAGTGGACCTCCCGTTATATTTACTCGAATTTTCACATCTCTATCCGCCCTGAATACAAGAAATTGCCCTGTATTGTGTAAATGACCAGATATCTGAAACAAAATTAATAAAATCACTTACAATCTCATTCCATTACAATACTTTGTTAATGCTACAATTTCTTTCTATCTAATTAATTATTATTTCAGTCCTTAAACGGAGAATTATAATTATAATGGGCAAAATCTATTTACAAGATAAAAGTTTTTTCTAATTTTAATTAATTTTCAAATAACATGATTAAGAACCTTGTTGTTAATTAATTCTGATCAGTTAAGTTATTAACCAATTCAGGAGTTCGATCACATGCTTGAAATTCGAAACGAAGCAATGGAGGTTGAACAGTTAATGATCTTGTCACACACTGTAGCCGCATTTATGGAACATTCCCTATATATATTGCACCTCCTTCCATTTCTCGAAATTTGGGGAAAATTTTCGACAATTGACTACCCATGTTCTCGTATTATCAATTCAGACTAAATGAGTATAAATGAAATCGAAACATTGAGTCCATTCTGAATTTCAATTGTAGCGTAGTAATAGGCAATCATTGCTAATGGTCGAATTCGTTAATTTTACTCCGTTTGACCAACGAGGATGAACTCAGCGATTTAAATTGTGAATCGACAAAATTTCACGCAATTAAATTTCATCTTGAATAGAAAATGTTTTGTTTTTTTGTAATTTAAATTTTTCATATATATATGTATCAAATATGATAATTCTTTTTAAAGATACATAGAAAAATTGGAATTTTATAACAATAGAAGTAAAGCTTTCCAGTAGATTGCTTTTTGATGGAGGTGAAATTATTTTTAAAGAATTGAGAAGTCTAAAAGTGGAGGTTAATGGAAATCGGAATTTTCAGGATGATATATATCACAAAATAATGTAAGTTACCGACCAAGACTTTTGCCGACGTGTCTCCTTCGTTCGGTCCGCTGTGAGGTTACCTCATTATTTTTAACCGATGATGCCATAATTCAGATCCTTGCGACATATAATAAAATTGACTCTTTCTGGCATTATTCGGTCTTCAAAAAAGAACTTTTCTTTCCAAACCGGCCAAGAGTACAATGTGACATGTTTGTCATTACAAAATTTTCTATAGGCAAAAATTAATTAATCAAAAAATGATCATGCATTGACTTTCTACAATAAAAATTATAAAAAACAACCGTAAAATCTATACAAAATTATACAACTGCTTCCTCCAGATGTCAACCGCTGGGGTTTTCTAAAAAAATTTCTAAAAAAATGAACTAATTACATTTTAATCAACAAATTAAATTAATTTTGAAGATTTAAACATTATTATAAGAATGACTGATGATTTAGACTATCAATAATTGAAATTTTATATGTGATAAAAAGTTTTTAATAATTGCCATTTAATTATATACAAATAATTTTATTTAATATTCTTTTATACGTATATGTTACAACGTTAAATTTAATTTATTATTGATTTTTATATTAAGTTTTATTTATTTATTATCATATTTTCAAGACAATCAACGTTATCTACACTTTATAATTATTAATTTTGCCAAGACGACAAGTTATTTTATGGAAAATAACTAAACCAAAAAAATAGTTAAATAACCTGACAATTAAATTTTATAATTCTATTTAGGAAAAACTAAAACCAGCTCAGAAATTCCATTGTTACTTTACAGCAACAATAGACCGCGAAAAGGAGGGGATAAGGATAAACACCATTAATTAGACAAAATTTATTACACTAACACTATTTATTAATATTCACTTCAAATTTTAAAAAAAGTTAAATAATGTCAGAAAGCCGAAAGACAAGATTTATATTTTATTTATTTAATTATACTTTAATAATAATGAGATCGATTCTGAAGAAAACGACTCCTAGTTAATTTATTGGGACTCACCGTCTATTCGACGATGACGATAACGCCTCGTCTCATTTTTATAACTTTAAATTTTAATTATTTTACACGAAAAAGAATAGAACACAACTTGACTCTACAAACACCAGGATGAGAATGAGAGTAAAATGGCTGACGAGTCAGACTCGAAAGCGTCGCTAAATAGCGACCTCTCTTTTCGGTGTCATTGAGATTAATTAATATTAAATAATATAATATCCGCGACCGATAATCGATACGCAGTCGTTGGTAACGCAGATCCCTACACTATCCGATGTTACATTGATTGATGCGAGAAGTCCATAGGAAATTGACTGCCAGTATTGATCGTCAACAATACAGCAATTTCGTATTCCTGGTGTTCTTGAATATTCGGGATGACTTCTGATTTCAATGATAGATAGTGATGTCCTTAAGGTTTTTGTGACCCGGCGAGAATCCTCTGTGCCTCACGAGAGTTTTCATAACAGAACGACAGGACAAATCAGAATCTCATTTATGGCTCAAAATTTCTGAAGTGAGCCACTAATTTTTCGATGGCGAGATTTTTATAAGTCAGATCAATAATTTTATAGTATTTTCGAATCAAAATAAGATCCTAAAGTTATATTGCAAAATTTTAATTTTTTTAAGAGTTATTGTTTAAACAATTTTTAAGCAGCCAATTAGTAAAAAAAGCTTTTCTACGGTTCCATTTGATGGATTTTGCTGAAATTTGGTATGAATAATGTACAATAACCATGCTTTCAAATAAAAAAAATTTGTTTCATTTTGTTCATAATTTGTTGAAAATAGCAACAATTATTATAAACAAATGAAAATTTAATAACCTTCTGCGCCTAATTTCGTATTTTTTCTTGTAAATTATGATTCCCTATTTTATCACGAGTATTTTAAAAAAAAAAAAAGTCAGTATATTGCATTAGGTCAAAAGTTATGGTACTTTTTCTCTTGACGCTCAGTGCCCTATTGACGCGCCAATATCATAGTTACTGACTCGCTATCCTCAAGACCGCGTACTGCGTCCAAATTTAACATGTTACATTAACAAATTTCCGTTAATAAATATACTTTATGATGCAATATTTTTTGTTTATTGCAAAAAATAATTTTTATTAAATAAATTCAACATACATATATAAACAATAAAAAATTTAAACATCTTCATTGCATGCGACAAAATTGTTTTGCATTATTTGAAAATCTAAGATTTTAATAAATGTTTAATATTTCTAAAGTTACATTGCAGATTGAAGAAAATATTATCTGAGAAGAGAAATTTTGAAATAAACGTAATCGTTTTATTTCAATGTTGTGTTTACAATATTTTAAAAAAATAGGGCCTACCAAAAAAATATTTAAAATTAAAACAATGATTTAACAATGTTATTATTTTCAGAATTATATTATTTGGTATTCGCCAGTTTCTACTTTAAGCAAGCTTAACCGTGACTGCTTCCTTTTGACCAGAAAAAATTTTACACAATAATGTGTTGTTTTTTCCTGGCTGATAGCAATGAAATGATCGTGTTTGGTTAATTGTTTTAGCAGTTGAAAATCGTAACTCTAAACTTTTTCTATGATTTTCAAGCTCTTCATTCGAACACAGGCAAAAATGAATTTTTTTAAAAAATCCTCTTGCCCACTCGTACAATTGTTTTGGAGTTGTCAAAAGAAGATTAGTGTCTTTTTGCAGGGATGTGAAATATGCATGCCTTTTGACCGTGCCTCCTACTCCGTCGCAAGCGCCTTTGCCGTGGGCGGTTGCAAAAAAGTGCCACTCTGCATCAATTCCGAAATCATTTTTATGATTAGCCAAATTTAACAAATTATATTTGTTTTTATATTGAGACGTAGCTCCATCGGAAAAGTAATAAATTTTTTTTAATTTTTTGGCACCAAATTTTTTTTTTAAATGCTCAATTAATTTCTTGTTGAACAAGTGAACAGCTGTCGAATCGTGTTGCAAATTCTCCGAAAAAATTACAAAGTTTTCGTTTTGTAAATTGCCCTCTTTTTTATAATATGCAACGTGAACATGTAGCGTGACTTGGTCTTTACGCCAATGTTGGGCTTGAATTTCATTTTGTATTTTAAAAGAATAATTTTCTGAAAAATCCTCTGTGACTATGAACTCTCCTTCGCCTATTTTCTCTTTCAATTTTGATAAATGCTCTGCCTGAGATTTAGCTATGAAATCGTGCTTTAAAAGTGCCAATAAATCTGTTGCAAAATTTTCTAAAAAGACCTTCATAGATTCAGTGACGATCGAAAATTGACATCTACAAAAATATGTTTCATATGAATTAATTGTAAATTATTAAGAATGAAAATGTAAAGCATAAAATTATTACCTGTCAGTCGTGAGCCACTGATGAAATGAAATCTCCTTTATGCCCTGATTTATAAAAATTGATTTTATTTCTTGCAAAATTATTTTTGTGCCAGGGCATTTTTTGCATTTTAAAAGAAAACATTCAGAACAAGAATTTTCACAAACAATTTTTTTTAACATATCACAGTAAGAATAAGGATAATCTATTTGTTTCTTAAATAACTCCTGTTTTAGGGCTTGTATTTTTAATCTGATATTTTGGTGCGTTTTGCAAACGCAAACATTGTGGTTGCCTTTTGCTCCAACTAATACGCATTGAGGTGGTCTTAAACTTTGAAATTTCGAGAGAGAAATTTGCACTTCGGAAAATTCCTTCAAAAATCGGGAGTGTAACTCGTTAAGGTTGCCCATCAACAATCGTTTCTATAATAATTTTAAAAATGGATGAAAATCTGGATTAAATTAAAAGAAATTAAAAGATGGATAACTTGAGACCAAACTAAGAAATTTAAATTAATGAAACTATACTCTGTTTTTCCATGATAGGCACTTTCAATTATTATAAACTCAATATTACTCATTTATATTACAGGAAAAATGTTATCAATTATAAAATCTCATCTAAATAAATTTTAAGTTATAAAACTTTAAAGTTTAAAGCCAACAAAAATTGGAATATTTTGCATTTTTTCAGAATACAGTAAACAATTATCCTAATAAAAAATTTAAATTTAAAATTATCTAATGAAAAATTAAATATTAAAAAACTTACTGTTAAATGCTGTCGTTTTCCATCAATTACCACTGATTTGAA